TGATGGTGAAGGTTAGGAGGAGCTGAGAGAGGATGGAGGAAGCCATGGGGAGTTGCGTTATGAGAAAATTTGAGAGGGTTCATATAAATAATGGAGGGGGTTGGTTGTAAATTAAAGTCGTATATACTTTTGTATTTGGTTAATTAAAAAAAAATATTTGAGTTTGGAGTTTTGCATATAGCCTCTTGAGCTTTGGGGTTGTAAATCTTTGAGTTTGGGGTTGTAAAACCCCTAAAGTTTGAATTTTCCCAAATGGATTCATACATGTAATTAGGATTAAAATGTCTTGATCGAGAGAAAAATGCTCAATCGTGGGGAAACAGGATAATTAACCTGCATATAAAAGGTAAATTACTTAATTGCGTGTTTTTCTGTGAAGAATATTCTAGTTATTTTTCCATTATAGGTGGATGGTCTCTTGAGGGAAGGGTTATATGACACCATGGAGTTCAGGGGAGTTTATGGTGAGATAAAAAAAAATGGTTCGAGGGCTGTGTGGGAGACCACCCAAAGTTTGGGTTTTTTTTAATTTAATTCCTTTTTGCTTTTGTTGTTTCGTATCTTGGAAAGGTTTGTATAGTAGTAATTAAATCATAAGAAATGAAAAAAAAATCATAATTGTAAATGGTCCTCTAGCACCATATATGTGTGGAGAATTCAGATATTTGGTCCAGATTTTGCAGATTTTGGATCATAAGTCGATTCATGACAGGCATAAGTCGATTTATGGTAAGTCGACTTGTGTCTGTGCACAATTCGACATACGTTCTGTTCTGGAATTGTTGGTTTTGATCTCTGTCAAGTCGACTTATCAGGCTCTATAAGTCGACTTATGATCTATTCTCCAGTAGGTGTTTGGTAGAATTTGTGAAGAATTCAGATATTTGGTCCAGATTTTACTGATTTTGGATCACAAGTCGACTTACCATATATATATATATAGAACAAAACTTGTGTCCACTTAAGTGGACATCCACCAAACTTTTTAACCCTTGGATGTTTCCTAGGGATCCTTGCATGATATGAAGTGACTTTTTATATGTTAAATGAGTGGATATAAAGTTTGGTGGACACACTATTCACTATCCACTTAAGTTGATAGGAGTCTTACTCTCCCCCTGCTTCTTCTTCCCCCATTTCTCCCAAAATCAAAACTCCAGCTCGAGCCTCGCCGCCGATCTTCCTTCGAGCTCGAGCGCTACAACGAGATCCCAAAGTTCCCCATCTCCGCCCACCACGAAGGCAGCATCGCCGCCGATCTTCCTTCGAGCTCGAGCGCTACAACGAGATCCCAAAGTTCCCCATCTCCGCCCACCACGAAAGCTGATTTCGCCGCCGATCTTCCTTCGAACTCGAGCGCTACAACGAGATCCCCATTTCTCCTCCTCCATCAAGCCATCTCCGCCCACCACGAAAGCTGATTTCACCGTCGATCTTTGCCAATGAATTGAAATGACAAAACAGTGAAGGAAAATAGGTGCTATCAGTTGAAAGGTTTGGACTTGGAGGAGGGACTGGCAACCTAGGAGCTGCATTCTCTGCTGTGTGTTGCAGTGGTCCAACTGGGTGGACAAGGATACGGAGGGGAATTGGATTGAATCACCCCATCTGTAATGAAACATTTGTGTTGATTGGAATAAAAGTTTAGAGAGAGGAATGAAAATTTAGAGAAACTCAGTCAGCTTTGTTACCCTTTTTATACCATTGTGTCGTGCGTCTTACCATCGAATCTTAGTTGTGAATTAAAGTAAAGGTCTATGTTTAAGGTATGAGTATGGGTATAACTTCAAAGAATGGAGTCAAAAATGTGGAGTGTGGATACTGTACGAATATTTCAAGATCCTGTTTGAGCTTCTACCCTGTTAGCAAATATGTCCTCTTTTAAGGATAAGGTTACGTGAAAAACTATCACTACATGTTTACGATTTGCAGCAGGACGGTAACGGTGAAAATGATACCTATGTCTTTACATAATTGTATTTTATTATTTTTTTTCCAACAGCGGTTGCAGAAAGACTATAATTTCAGCATCATGGACGTAAATAATCAACAATCAGCAGAGCATTTTGACACTGGTTCTTTAGATAGCTGCTTAGACTTCTTCCAGATAGATACGTCTCTCAACAATCCCTACACAATAATCTCCTAAAGCTATTTCCTTTGAAGAATTAGCAACACAGACAAAAATTGTAGCAGATAATGTCTAAGATCTAGAAATACAATATTACAATGCATAAACCAGAAATATTTTTCCACCAGAATCATATGAAAGTCCAAACAACAGAATAAGTGCCTGAATTAACCAACAGATGAACAAAGCTCAGTGACCAGAGAACAAATTCCTTGCATCTTCTATTGCAGTGCCAAAAAAGATGAACAAAGCTCAGTGACCAGAGAACAAATTCCTGCATCTATTCTTGCAAACAAGCCTGAAGTAAAACCAAGTAAAAAACTCACTGTCAGATAATGCATGGTCTAGTAGCAAGCAAGGAAACATATAATAATTTCTGTTCAGATGCACAAGCAGTGAAATATCTCCATCTTGCAAACAAGCCTGAAGTAGGAACCAAGTAAAAAACTCACTATCTGTAAATGCATGGTCTAGTAGCAAGCAAGGAAACATATAATAATTTCTGTTCAGATGCACAAGCAGTGAAATATCTTAAAGAACATTATCCATAATAACATAATTGCAAGATGTTTTGAGTATAAACACATATTTGTTTGTCATAGCTATGAAGTTCTTGGTTTCTGGTTATGGAAGGAAACAGGGACATTAAATCACATCAATATCAAGGTTCTATAAATCATGAAGTTCTATAAATCATGAAGTTCCTTCAAATCACCATTTACCAATGTCTATTAGGTTCTAAAAGCTCACAGGAAAGTGCACTGCAAGTTTGGATGGCATATCCTGGATATTTTATTCATAAGCTATATAGAATTAATAGGAATGGAGTATAGTGAAGAATGGAGTATAGTGAATAATTTAGAGGATTATATAGGTTTTAGAGGAAAATGACCAATAGATATCACAATACCCATGTAGAAGACCGTCTTCATAGGAGTCCATCATCCTCATCTTCACTTGATGACCCATTACCCTCTTGACAATTTGTATCACCGCATGTAGAAGACCTACATTTTATATATATATATATATATATATATATATATATACACACACACCAAGGGGATAATAGAAGGTGAAGAATAAGAAAGGATTAAAGAAGGTAAAAGAACTACTACTTACGGATTTGTGAGTGCCGGACAATTTTGCTTATCATGTGATTGGCCTACTTTACCACACCCGTGGCAACGTCTATCTTTTTTATTTTTTGCTCTAGCCATTGCTTTCTCTTTTCCCCCTTCAACCTTTTGCTGCACCCTTTTGCTCGCACTTGATCGGGTTCATTGAAACTATTTTGAAAAGTACAAGAATCCTGCACACTAGTACCATCATCCATTAAATTACTATTCATTTGATTTTTTTCTCGGTGAAGATCTTTGCAATCGTGCGGCTACTAATGAATTGGTCGATTTGCTCATTAATGATACGCACTCCATCGGTAAACATCTTCCTCGTTTCTTCACATACAAGGGACTTGTCAACTAATTCCAAAGATGATTGGATAAATTGACTCCGTGTTAAAAGATAAGAATTGTCAGGGTTTATCTGCATACCTTTATCATCAACCACTGTCCCCGATTTTGCAGACTTAGTCCACCTCTTTAAGATGTATTTATCGGGTAATATTTTAGCATCAAATTTCATCAAGTAGGAGATAATATGAGTACATACGATTCCGGCACTTTCAAACTTTTTACAACTACAAGAAACCAAATCCAAGTCCTTGTCATAAACGATTTCGCGGACTTTGCTTGTTTCGAGCTTCTTTCTTTGAATTTGATACACACGGCGATTGTCGGTTTCCCTAACAAACTGCAACTTATAGTTAAAGTTGTCACACACTTCAGCCTCAAACTTGAAATACATCTCATTAGTGTAAATATCAACCATTTGCTCCAAAAAGTCATGATTTATTCCAAGTTTAGGTTTCTCAATCAAGTCTTTGTGATCGGCCATCAACTCCTCGTGACGTTGGCGCACTAGTCCCCTGCCAAACTGTATCATAAAATCCACCAATGAATTATTCTTCGAAACAAATTTCTTGAAGAATGCATGTCCACTTTCTGCTCGTTGGCTACTTGACATGTCTGCTGAGAAAATGTGATTAACATATGCAGGAATCCATCTTGACCGAAGTTCATATTGGTCTTGCAACACCTGTTTCCTTCTAACCCACTTTTCTTAATCAGACTTTCCCATTGTAAATCAAATTCTTCAGGAGTCTCTGATTTCCAAATGCAAGCCGAGAACTCACTTTTATAAATACTATACTTCACTGCATCAATTTTCTCAGAAAACTTCATTAATATATGCCAACTACAATACCTGTCAAAAGAATTAAATAAAGTGTTAAAAAGAAAGACTATGCATATAAATATTTTTAATAATATACACAAACTATAATACCTGTGAAAAGTATTTGGAAGAACAAGAGGGAATGCCTTAGTCATCGCTGGGTCTTGATCGGTAATAATCATCTTCGGGGCACCACCAGGCATACTTTCCAAAAATTGATTAAATAACCACACAAAATCATCAACGCTCTCATGATTCAAAAATCCACAAGCAAAAATAATTGTTTGACCATGATTGTTAACCCCCATTATTGGTGCAAATATAAAGCCATAGCGATTAGTGTTGTAAGTAGTATCAAAGATTACAACATCACCGAAAAAATTGTAAGCCCGCCTTGAACTTGCATTGGACCAAAAACAACGAGTAATCTTTTGTTCCTCATCAGCCTCAATTTGAAAAGTAAACGAGGGATTCTTTTCTTGTTTCAATTTTAAATACTCATAAAACATTTCACCATCATGCCCCTTCATATCAGCACGTATATCCCTTCCATGATTATACAAATCTTTTTGAGTGCACCTAATATTTTCTATACCTCCAGAGTATACTCCAAGAAAACTAAATTGTTGATGCTGAGGTATATTCACCATGGATAACTGTTTAGTTAGAGACTTTGTTGCGGCTGAAACGTTACGATGGGATCTTGTTGATAGCGGGTGGCTGTGCTCCTCATTAAAAACAGTAACAATATATTTTTTAGAGTTTGATTTTAAAACTGCAATTTTGGCAGGACAATCCTCAGCTAAGCTTCCTTGACGTCTTTTCTTTCCAACATCCGCGATTCTTAGAGATTTTCCTTGTTTAAAACAAACATACTCCTTTCTTCTTATTTCACCACTTCCCGGTTCTTTTTGAGTAGTCCAAGACCTTATACTAAACCCAGCTGCTTTAGCATAAGCATTGTAGAATGTTACAACATCATCTATTGTGTTAAATTCTTGCCCCTTTTTTGGCCTCAACTCATCTGATACTTGAGGAGTATATATCAAATCATCGTCGTCCAAGTTTACTTCATTAGCTTCAGTGC